GCCAAAAAACTGAGTCTTAGTCTATGAAGGATTGAAATTCTCGAAAGCACATTGATTTACAGTTATATAATTTGATCAGAGGAGAGAATATCTCGAAGGATTGCAAACAGTGATGCATAAGCTTTTTTTTAGCTTGGAATCTGCCATCGTGCTGAGATCTTCAGTTTAGGGGTGTAGTTTCAACTCTGGTCTTTTTGACTTTCTAATTAACAGTTATATCTTCCCTAAATGTAGGAAAGGCACTTGTTAGGATCAGTGTGGAGATTGTTTTGTGAAGCATATGTACACTGATTTCGAGGGAAGATTGAAGCGCGGAATGCACAGCAAGATCCATAATAAAACGCATATAATTCATTGTCTTCTACATAGATGTACTGACTAAATGTAGCGCGTTTATCTTATTTCTTGATCAGTTACAGTGTCATTTAGAGGTTTGATTTTTAAAAAAAGAGATCAACTTAGTTATAGTTTATTTCATGAGGGTCTTGCTGCCTGTTCTTTATCGATAAAGTACTGAAAGTTTTTACATGACCCACGAATGAACTACTAGTTCTCATTGGTTTAGGCCTGATTTCTCTATGTTTTCTTCACTCACTCCTACTGGATCGGCCCCAAATTCAGCTGGCATTTTGGCAGCCGTTGCCCAATGTGCTCCATCAACAAGCGGTGGGCTGCTCGGTCCTCCAACACAGAATGTATCTCTAAGCCCTATAAATTCTCCCCGAAATAAAGAACAACAACATCAAGGTGCTTTAGAGTGAGTTTTGCTGGACTTCTCGTAAGTATTGCTCGTTTTTAATAGACTATATTTATCCAGGAAACGGTCACCGGGTGAATCGGATGTCATCGCTCCAACTGCTTCGCAAGGTCATTTACTTTCGACATTGCACTCAGCTGCTTCTGCACCTTCAGGTGCCGTTGATCCAGCAAGTTGGGATCCTCGTGACATTAAGCCTACCGTTAGCAAACATGTGAGCTATTTTAAATAAAACATTACATCGATTCTTACGCTTTCGTTGTTAAAAAAACCGACAGACTGGAAATTTCAATGCTCCTTGAATAAAAAAAACATTTTCTGATTCAAAAAATCCAAGGATTAGATCTAGTCATTTTTTAATTCTAAATATCGCTCTTTTCCTAATTTGTAAGAAGGGCTCACTGCAAAAATTAGGGCCTTAC